AATTGATAAAATTCAACATGAATATTGAAACTTAAGAGAAGAACATTTCCTTAAAATGATAAAAATAAAAATACAATGTGTAATATATATGAAATATTTTTATATTTTATATATTTTTATCTTTTAGTAAATAATATATTTTTCTATTTAGTAATAGTATAAAGTGATTTAATATGAAATAATAATAAAAATTAAAATGTTGCATCTATTTAATAATCAGACACAACATAATCCTTGAAATAAAAACTCAAAAAACAATTCAATTAAAAACAGACAAGGAAAGTGTTCTCCTTATCATCATTAGCATCATAATTAAAGAATGTTGCCAAAGAAATAAAACATATACAGATACACAAGAGAAATACATATATACACACAAACACACAACTAAGACAAAATAATGAATTTGATAAAAATAAATAAATAACAGACTGTGCATATGAAAAAGAAAGGCATTTTTCAAAGTGGTCAAGAGCTTTTGGATTTAGACATATCTTGATTCCAATCATGACTTCAGCAGTTAACAACCATGTGAACTTAACTAAACTCACCCTCAATCTCCTCATTTGTAAAATGGGTAAAATAAGGCCTACCTCCCTGGATTGTTGTGAACATTAAGTGAAATACTATTAAACTCTTAGCATAATACTTGGGACGTAGTAGTCACTCTAGTTATAATAACTGTGCTAGTTAATCACTATTGTAATCACTCTATCATTTGTTAATAATGTTATTTATTATATAAAAACATGTATTATATAAGAAACAAGCAGCATTCATCTATGCCACTAATCATCAGCTAGGAAAATCTAATGAAAAAAGGAGTTCTCTTCATAAATAAGCAAAAATATAAATCACATAGAATATATACCATAAGAGATATGGGGAGAACTATAAAAACTTAAATCTTTTAGACAAAAAATAAAGGTACACTTAAATTAATAGACAAACCATGTGACTGAATGAGAACTAAATGTTTGAAAGTAAATTAAAAGTCTATAAACTGTAAAACAAAATGAGGACAGTTCCTCTGAATCCACTGTGTAGCTTTAGAGCAATCATAAACTGTTGCATAAAATGGTATAAATTTCACTTAGAGAAACAGGTAGGTTAGAGGCAAAACTGGAAAAGACCTGGAATCCTTGACTCTAAAGTTAGAGTTAAGAACCTTCTGATGTCATCTAGTCCAAGAGGGAACAGAGGCCCACAGAGGCTGAGGAACATATTTAAAGACTCCATTAATTGGTTCTTGAACTGGGATGTGAACTCAAATCCCTGTCTTCTTGTAGAGTTGTTCTTTCTTTTATTTTGCACTGGATCTTTATATCTAGAATATAATGAATATTCTGAAGAAGAAGAGCAAAGAGGGAAAGTAACCCTACTACATATTAGAATATACCATAAGGAAGCAATAATTAAAATGGTGCATGTAAGAGAATGAAACTGGATTACTGTCTAACTGCATACACAAAAGTAAACTCAAAATAGATCAAAGACCTGAATGCAAGTCATGAAACCATAAAACTCTTAGAAAAAAACATAGGCAAAACTTTATTGAATATAAATAGGAGCTTTTTCATTAATATATCTCCTTGGGCAAGGGAAACAAAAGCAAAAATGAACAAGTGGGACTACAACAAACTAAAAATCTTCTGTACAGCAAAGGACACCATCAACAGGACAATAAGGCATCCTACAGTATGGGAGAATATATTCATAAATGACATGTCCGATAAGGGGTTGACATCCAAAATATAGAAAGAGCTCATATGCCTCAACACCCAAAAAGCAAAAAACCTGATTAAAAAATGGGCAGAGGATCTGAACAGACACTTTTCCAGAGAAATTCAGATGGCCAACAGGCACATGAAAAGGTGCTCCCCACATCGCTAATCATCAGAGAAATGCAAATTAAAACCACAATGAGATATCACCTCACATCAGTTAGGATGGCCAACATCCAAAAGACAAGCAACAACAAATGCTGGTGAGGATGTGGAGAAAGGGGAACCCTCCTACACTGCTGGAGGGATTGTAAATTAGTTCAACCATTGTGGAAAGCAGTATGGAGGTTCCTCAAAAAGCTCAAAATAGAAATACCATTTGACCCAGGAATTCCACTTCTAGGAATTTACCCTAAGAAAACACGATCACAGATTCAAAAAGACATATGCACCCCTATGTTTATTGCAGCACTATTTACAATAGCCAAGACATGGAAGCAACCTAAGTGTCCATCAATGGATAAATGGATAAAGAAGATGTGGTAAATATACACAATGGAATATTATTCAGCCATAAGAAGAAAACAAATCATACCATTTGCAACAACATGGATGGAGCTAGAGGGTATTATGCTCAGTGAAATAAGCCAGGTGGAGAAAAAGAAGTGCCAAATGATTTTACTCATCTGTGGAGCATAACAACAAAGCAAAAACTGAAGGAACAAAACAGCAGCAGACTCACAGAACCCAAGAGTGGACTAGTGGTTACCAAAGGAAAAGGGGTTGGGGAGGGATAAGGAGATTAAGAGGTATTATAATTAGCACACATAATGTAGGGGGGGCGCAGGGAAGGAAGTATATAGCACAGAGAAGACAAGTAGTGACTCTGTAGCATCTTACTGTGCTGATAGACAGTGACTGTAATGGGGTATGTGGTGGGAACTTGATAATAAGGGGGAATGTAGTAAGCACAATGTTGCTCAGATGAAACCTGAGCATAAGATTGTATATCAATGATACCTTAATAAAAAAAAAGAAAAAAATACCTTATCTCTTAAATTTCAGAAGTATTAGCAAAATAAACTATAGATAAACTACTAGAAAATAGATTTGTTATCCCAATTAAGAGGTAATATTTTTATAATGATTTCAATAATGGAAGACTTCTCAAAGGAAAAAATAGGAAAGATGATCATATAAAAATTTTATGAGTTCTCTAAAGTAAAACTTGTTGAAAAGTAAAAAGTGATAGAATGACAAAATACTGAGAAAAAATACAAATTCAACAAGAGTATTATAACACCCAAAATAGGTGCACCTAAAAGTATAAAGCAAATATTAACAGACCTAAAGGGAGAAGTATGCAGCAACACAATAATAGTAGAGGACTTTAATACCCCACTTTTATCACTGGATGGATATCCAGGCAGAAAACCAACAGGAAAACATTGACCTTAAACAACATGTTAGACCAGATGGACCAACAAACATATACAGAACATTCCATCCCAAAGTAGCAGAATACACATTCTTCTCAAGTGCACATGAATCATTTTCCAGGATAGATCATATGTTAGATCATTATAACACAAAATAAGTCTTAATAATTTAATAAGGTTGAAACCATATCAAACATCCTTCTGACCATAATGGAATGAAATGAATAATCAATTACAGGAGAAAAATATAGCCAATGAAGGGTCAATACCAACTAACAAAAAACAAGCACACCAATAAGAAACCCAAGATCTAAATGGACACATGGGTAGAGATGGGTTGCTAATCTACCTGTAAGAAAAAAAGAGTAAGTAAATATTTAAAAATTTTAAGCTGAGCTTGCTTGATAGCAAATCAATTGAAGTACTAATGAAGTGGCATTTGTTGACTATCTGTTTCTTACTATATTCTGACCAATAAGGAGTAAAGCAAAACAAAGTTCAGGGCTTGTAGTTCTTTGGAGGAAAACTCCTCACTGACTCTGCAGGTAGCATTACTCATTGGAGGCAATTTGCTAAATGCAAATGTTTCTACTCTTTGACCAATTGAATCTCAAGCCTGAGAATTTATCCCAAGGGAGTAACTTAAAGGAAGAAAGAAAAAAATGTACAAGTACAAAGTTGTTTATAGTAGGGTTGTTAATCACAGTTAAAAGAACTGTAAACATCTGAAATATCCAGCAATAGATATATCAATACAAAACAATACTATGTACCCATTAAATGATAAATATGAGGAGAAATCAAAAGATGTGGAATTAGTTATGAAATAAGTTAAAACAAGTAGAAACAGAAAGTTATATCTATACCATCAAATCAATTGTGAAGAATTATAAATATGAGTAAATACTGGAAAGAATAAAAACTGTTGCTTGTTCAGAATTTATGGGGTTAGGAATGAAATTTTAAGATAAATCTTTTCATAGTATTTTGAATCTGCTTTAATAAACAAAATTAAAAGTAGAGAGTATATAATATTTTTTCCAAAGATTTCCTTTAAATAAAGATGGCTAATTTTTTTTTAACAGTGTTTTGAAAAATTTTTGGAAATTTTACTTCTGGGGATCTTCTTGTTAATGTCGAATAGGTAGGTGTTAGTCACTGTATTTCAGACTGGGGCTTCCAGCATGGTTGGTGGCACCCTGGACATGCCCGCATGACAATCATTAAGCAGAAAGCTTCTATGTTTAGACCGACCATAGGCAGCATGAGCCATCAGGAGAGGTGAGTCAGGAAATGGAGGATGAGGAGGCAGGAGATCCAAGTCCTATTTTGTGAACATGAGTCTGGCAGGATGGGAGGGTGGGGATTTGCAATCACCAAGAGGGAAGGGCTGGGGTCTGGACTTTGTGGTGACAGCAGATTGGAAATTAAGAGATGACTCTGATGTCTTGAAAAGAGGAACTGTTCTATTTGTGTGGCTTCCTGGGTGTGAGAGGAAAAGGAAAAGGAAGCATCGAAAGTTCAGGCGCCTGGGTCACCCTTCCAGACCCACTAGGTGCTAACAAGGCTCAGGGAGGGCTGCCAGTATCCGGATGGGGAGCTGGTTGGAAGGAGGCAAGTTTAGAAGTTCTCGGAGTGGGCAGGAAACATGATCTAATTCACTCATTCATCTGCAAACCTTTACTTAGGAACTGTTCAGTGTCTGCCCATACTCGCCACTGAGATGGAGGATAAAGGTACTGGCAGGAAGTCTAGTGTTAACATGTTCACCTTCTTTTATCAACAAAAATGAGTCCAGCCCTGGCCTAAGAAGAGCATCTGCCCTGAACCCACCTACCTTTTTCCTGCTCAGCTGCTTCACTGAGGTCTGGAAGCTTGAGCCCCACTAAGTTCTGATTTCTTATCAGGATATGCTCCTTTTTAGAAAAAGAAAAAGACAACATTTCAGATGATAACGTCAGACTGGACTCTGCCTATGACTCTGTAACCTCACAGCCTCATTTGGGAGATATGAACAGCAACCTCAATGGTAGGTGGACAGTCATGACATAGTGATATCTGAGGGGCACCAGGAAGACCATTACTTTCCCAGCCTGAAACTCCACCACTGACACCACATTCCTTGGTTTAAGAGTTGTCCCTGGTATAGTCTGCTTTTTAAATAAAAGTGTGGGCCTCAGGGTAAATAAGCTGCCAGCAACTGTGTGGCTGAGGGCCATAGGACAAACAGAAGCAGAGCCCATGGCTCTGGGGACAGTAGGTTCCCCAGTTATGTGTGGAGCTGCCTCTGGAAACAATCTTTGGTGAGCTCATGGCTGTGCTCCAAGCTGGCTAGAGACTCCTGCTCTGTTGTTCTGCGCAGTGAGCACCCATTTCCAGGAGTTGTGACCTCCTTCACCTCCAGTTCCTCAATGGCCTGTTATGACACCTCTTGAGTTATTAAACTCTATAGACAAATGAGGCCTGAAAACTACCATCCCAAAGGCAGCAGGCCCAGCAGCCTATCCTGCCTGGGACCACAGCAGTCAAAGCCCTGACCACAGGTATGTGGCACAGGTAGGCTCACACCTGCTCCAAGTCAGTCAGCACCAGGCCAGTGCCCCCAGATGGAAATGCCCACAGAGCTTCTGTGACTTGTGCTTATGAGGGTATTTTCAGTCTCCTGTGTTGCAGAGGTCACTAGAAAGTTTGGCCCCCTGGGTAAAGAAGGAGAGGAAGGGGCCAGCAGAGGGTGCTCATGGCCCAAATGGAAGTCACTGGCCCAGAAGGGCCCTTTACTTGTGCTAGTAGCAAGCTAGAGGCCTATAGCCAATCAGCTTTCAGCACACTGACCTGAGGAAGGGATGCTCAGCTGCCAGGGCAGTGGTTAGGGGGATGGGACTTCCAGGTTCTCTGTGGCTCTCTTTGCTGCAGAGAGAAGTTGCAGGGGTGTGGGGGTGGGAGTGGCCTGTTGCTTGGGTCTGGCTTCTGATGCCCTGAGGCCTGCAAAGGCAAATGCTTGTCTGCCTGGCCCAAAGCTCCAGGGCTGTGGCTCATGACAGGCAGCCTTTTCAGGCCTGTACAAATCTACTAGTTAGTAAAGTCTTCCTGGCTGCGTGGGTTTTCTAAGTAAAATATTAACATCAGCAGCCAGGTCCCAGGTCTGCAGGAGCCTCCAACTCAGAGCATTATGGAAAGTTTCTGAACAGGAATAACAGGAATGAAGGTTTCTGAATAGGACACACTGGAATGTATCCCTGCTAGCACAGAACCCCCCTCACTTGTGTTGACTGCTATTAGGTGCCTCTTCCTTACCTGTCCCATGTCCCCTCTACAGGGAAGCCAGAAGAGCCTTGCCTAGTTCCAGCTGTGGGAGCACCAAGTCCCACCCTCTGGAGTCCCAGTTGCTGTGGCCTGTGGCCTGGGTTGGCCCTTTGGGGAAGAGGGGACCAGACAAGGACTCCTTTATCTTGTTAACCTCTCTCCTTCACACCTTGGTCTCTCTCCTCTATATTTCTGGATATCCCTTATCTCTCCCTGCATAGGGTGGCAGCCTCATAAGAGACTACCATTTCTGGCTTAATGGCCAATGAATGTTGAGGAAAATTGGAAGAAATTCACCAGGGGGTTGCAGCCCCTCATGGCCATCATTGTCCTTGAGGATGGATTTGAGGTCCTTTGTTAACAGGCTTCAGGAAGGGGAAGTTTGGGGCATGACAAAGAGAAAAGGTATTTTATCCTTGCCTAGCCCCATCCTCAGCATGACAAGGTGCTCCATCAAGGGCTTCCTGTTTATGAGCTACCAGCTCTGGCTGGAGGAGTAGAACACAGTCCAGGAATAGGGCCCATGTGCTCCTCCATACACTCACCTTCCCCTTGCAATGTGGCTTTGTATGGCAAGTATATCCCAAACTAACCTTACCCAAGTAAGGGAAAAGCACCCGCAACTGGTGTTTGTGAAGAAGATGCTGCACAGAGGGCCTGCTTTATCAGGGTGGGGGAGTTTAGGGCCCCATGAGAACCATGTCCAGGCCAGAGCTGCCTTGCTGAAGAGCCCAGCTCAGTCCAGAGGTCTTCAGCCTGGGGTTGGGGGGCAGCCTGCAATGCACACCCTGCCCAGCTGTCCCCCAGGAACCCACCTCTCGGAGCTTGGTCAGTTTCTGCATCCGCACTGGCTGCACCTGTATCTGAAAGTCTTTGAGTCCAGGTGCCTTGGCCAACTTGCTGCTAGCTTTGCCTGAAAAACGCTTCTCTTCCTCTGCCAGTGGCAACTTGGCAAGCACTTTCTGCAGCCGGGGGCCAGGTTCTTCAGGGCCACTGTCCCAGGAGACCCCCCGAAGCAGGGGCGGCCGGGCCACAGGGGGCCAAAGCTCAGCTTTGGAGCCAACCCTGGACCCTGTTGATTCTCCAGCTGTGCCTTTTCCCTGGGGGGCTGGGGGAGCCGCCCCTCCAGAGCCCAGGTCTGGACTTCTCGGCAAAGGGTTGCCCTCCCTGCCTGTCTTCAGAGGTGGCTTCCCCAGCTCTTTCTCTGCAGGGCCTGGTTGAGGGCTGTTCAGGGCCATTTTTCCACCACTGCTTGTGCCAGAAGCTGGGTCCTTGGATGTGGCCTCAGGGATCTGAAGGGGATCGAAGTTTTCCTTTTGTTCTATTGAAATCTCTTTGGACTTCTCAACTGTGGCAGACCGAGGAGTCAACCTGCCCTGAGAAACTTTCCTCTGGTCATTCTGTTTCCAGTCAGTTAGCCCTTTGGGGACATTCTGAAAGAGACAAGGTAGAGCTTGGACCCCAGAGGCAGGTTGGGGAGGAGGTAGGTGGGGGCTACTTCCCTTGTGGGGTCTCTGACCCCACAGGCCCTGCTAAGGGGCCTGTGGTGTGTGTGTGTGTGTGTGTGTGTGTGTGTGTGTGTGTGTGTGTGTGTGTTTAGGGATATGGGCTAGGTGGAGGGGCTTCTCATTTAAGTCTGAGCCCGTAAAGTGGACCCACAGACAAGTCTGAGGTTTGTAAAACAGACAGGACAAGGGGCCATGCCATTCAAAACCTGCCAAGAACTTACTAAGAGCTAGGAGCTGTGAAGGACAATTGAACAGAGGGCAGCTTAGAGGCAGTCACAAGTTTTGACCTCAATTCAGCTGTCCCAGATTCTAGTCCTGCATCTGCCTGATAAGGCTCTTAGTTCTTAGGGACTCAGAGATCCCATTAGGTTTGTGAACTCTCTGAAATTATATACAAATGTGTGTGTGTGTGTTTCTGTATGTTTGTGTTGCATGTATTTTTCTGGGAAGAGAATTCACAGCTTTCAGTGATATCTCAGAGACTTTCGTGATGAAAAAGAATCATTAGATGAGGTGATTTTTGCAAAAGTGATATCTTACTAAGATTCTGTACTCTTCTTTCATTTCCCAAGGGAAACCTGCTTTGTGAGGAACACCTGGGGTCTGGGTCTGGGTATTTGTGTGGCTGTCTTGCATGTGTGCTGAAACTCTCCCTAAGGGCTCTATCCCAGACCCAGTTCTAGATAAGATTGGATTCTGTGCTGCCCCTGATACCAGCTTGAGCACTTTGCTCCAACCAGGTCTAGGACCCTTATATTGCTCATCAGCAGAGATGAGGTCTTTCCAGGCTGTTCCCAGGAAGAATCCCAATAAGGGGATGGAGCTTTTACTCTTTCCACTAGAGCTGACAAAGGCAGCAGTCTTGCCTAGCTATTGCTCAGCCCAGTGGTCTCCCAGTCTCTGGCCAGCAACCTGAGTGGGGTTGCAGAGCTACAGGCAGGACCACCTAGAGGTTACTCTCACTGAATCCTGCCTCCTTAATTGTGCCTAGCAGTTACAATAGGGCAGAGGAAACTTCTAGCTTCCCCAAACTTGACTCTGCACTCATGCACACCCACTCATAGGCTGCCCAGGGCCAACCTAGGCAGCCTGAACTCTGCTGACACTGTGTCTACTACACTTAAATAATCCAAATTGGACAGATCTCAAACTCACAGTCTCGCCAAGGTGAAGTGAAGGGACTTCAGCCTCATGCCCCTTCTGCTAAAGTAAACATGCATTAGTCAGCAATGTGGAGACCATATCTCCTCTTGAAATACCCTCAGAGAGGCCCATAACAATGGTGCAGATGCCTTCCGCACCCCAACCCAGCACCCTCATCCTAATGGTTCATGAAGGGCCTCTCAAGGGTTAACAGTAAGAGGAGAGACTGGTTGGCTTAGAAACCCCAAATGGTCACCTCTTACCTGTGGTGGGGCTCCAGGGAGAGAGGACTGTGGGCCACTGCATGCATCCAAACCTGGAATGGCCCAGACACTGGTGAGTGATGTCCAGCACCCCAGTCTCTCAACTCTCCCTTCAGCAAAAACACATCTACCTTCCCAGAATGTCTTCCCTTAACTCCCTTAGGCCTGGTTGCCAGTAAAGCCACTTGTTGAATACCTCGCACATGCTTGGTGCTATGCTCAGTCCTCATTTAATCATCACAGAAACCATAGGAGGAAACGGAGGCAGAGGGAAATCAAGGTCACATAGCCAAGAAGTGTCAGTATTGGGAACTGAAGCCAGGCTGCTGGGCCTGAGCTTGCCCCACTGCTCTGACAAGGGCAGGCTGTGCTCCCTGGTACCTTACCCTTCCCATGCTGGTCTGTGTGGCCCTGTACTCAGCCTAATGAAAAGGAAGAAACCAAAAAGCAGGAAGCAGCTTAAATGGAGGTTTTTCCAAGTAAGCTCTCTCTGAGTCCCCTAGGCAGAGACAGCACCAGTCATAGCTCTCTTCCTACAGTCTTGACCCCATTCTCACCAGCCTATCTCATTTTGGATGAGGCCTGTCTCCCCACACTAGCTCAAAACCCCAATAGAAAGTACCTCCACCTCTTCCGGGCAGCACAGCCCAGCCCAGCTGGGGGCCCCAGGGAGGGGGCCAAACAGGGTCCTAACTGGGAAGCCTGCAAGATGAGAGGCACCCTGGTCAGGCCAGCAGAGGGACTAAGCCACCACCTAAAGGGAGAAGAGAGGGTGGGAAATGCCAGGGGCAGTAGACCTCACCGGGTGGTGTAGGGATGGTAAGTGAGTTGTTCTGAGAGGATGCAGAAGATCCGGGGCTGAGGTTCGGGCAGACAGCTGTGGAGACAGGCACAAATTGGCCAGCATTCATGCAGTTTTAGGACCTCTGCCCAACAAAGACATCCTTTCAAGTATTTCTGACCCCTGGGAACTGGGCCAGGGGCTAATTCTGAACTGCCATGTAAGGCTCCTACCATAGCACGATGCCTTCCTGCTGCCAGCCCAACAGAGGGAGGCACTTCAATCATTCGAGGGCTGAGGATTGGGGTTACACTCCTTAGCCTGCTTGGCTTGACCTCAAAGTACCTTCTAGAATAGAGGACCTGTCATTGCTTAGCAGGTACAACTCTAAGGGCTGTATTCCTAGACTTCCCAGAGTGATACTGATTTCAAATGCTTCCCTTGTCTCCTAAGTATGTTCAAGCTTGTCTAAAACCTGCTCCAACTTTTTGCTCAGGAAGAAGAGGAACTTTAGCCAAAAGGGTAGCAGGAGGATTTCGGGGTCCAGGAAAACCTTCCTTCTAATTAGAAATTCCATAAAGACACCAAGACCAGCTTCCTTCCACATAGTGCCTAGGATCCTTCCTGAGGCCCATGGCTGGAGGCCAGGGAGAGGGAGTCCAGTGCTGGTCTCTTTTTCCTTTGATGAGGAGGTGCCAATAGAGCAGGGCCTTCTGGGAAAGGTGGGGATGTCACACAGACTCTGTCCATGCAGGGTGACCTAGGAGTCGGTCCACATGGGCATCACACAGAGGATTCCTCTCCATGCAGGATTCAGGGAGGGAGGATCCCAAGTTAAGTTCATGGGTATAATATTCCCTAAAAGCCTGGGGACAGGTGGGGCTTACACCTGCAGTTGGGGCCCTCCCCATCCTGTACCTCACCTCAGAGGGACTCAGGGAATCTATACCCCCTACCTGATGGAGAGTCTCCGGGGCCACTCCTGGACTTCCTCCCACGGCGGGTAAGGAATCGCTCACTCACTGACTTGGCTTCTTTCAGCAGCGCCAGGTTTTTCTGCTTGTCTTCCTCTGAGATGCTGATGTCTGGTAGCTGGTCTTTTACCAGGTCAATGACATGGCCCAAAGGATCTGCAGAGAGAGGGTGAGCTTGGGGTGAGAGTCAAAGAATTCTTAGCCTCTGGCTAAGAGTCCCTGCCACCCCACAACTCAGCACAGGGATGCTGCCTGAGATGGACCCAGCCAGCCAAATCTTGGCCCTGTGGTGGGCCATAGAGAGGACTGCGTGGGGACAGACAGGGCTTTCTCAGTAGGCCTGGCTCTCCAGCTTATAGCCTGTGGCTGTGGCAGGTCCTCTGTCACAAATGGTCATGAAGCCACCTAGGTTTCTAGTATTGTCCTAAACTCTGCTCTCAGAGCAGGCTGTCAGGAGCCCCACTTCTGTGCTATCTGCTACCCTGATGTGTTCTCCCTTCAGGTTTCTGTTTCTTCAATAAGCTAGTGATCTTAATATCTGGGAATAAAGGGAGCTTTCAAATATCATGAGCCACCTTCCCTTCTTCCTCTACTGACACTGTCTACCCCCATACTTCTCTACAACTGCCTCTCCTCCAGCAGCCACCTCTCACCCAGCTGCTCAGAAACATGGAAGTCACTCCACGCTCCTCCCTCTTCCTCAGTCTTCCCATGTCCAACCGACTGATCACCAAGTTCTGATCATCATTTACCTCATAAATATCTTTGGAACCTGTTTCTCATCTTGCTTACCTGCACAATTACGTCAGCCACTGCGTAAGTCTGCCACCTGGAGGTGATCCCCTCAGTCTCATCCTCCACTGCCTAACCTTCCTTCCGAAGAGCCAGAGCTGACCATTCTGCCTCACCTTACCAGATTCCTCAGTATGCCATCCAAATGCTAAACTGGGCCCAGCCACTTGTGCTGAGCCCGCCTACTCCTCCTGAAGCCCCTCCCTCCAGACCTTCAGCAGTAAACAGCTCCCATTGTGCCTCTCCAGCCTCTCCTCCCCTTTCTTCTGGTTGTAGCTCCCTGGTTTTCTTGGGTGAAACCCCTCTGAGGCTCAATTACCCTAGTAAGGAAGGAGCTAAAACCCACCCCCACCTCACCCCAACCTTGGTCATTCAACGAGTTCAATGCCCTAGTCACAGTGGTTGGCCAAGGGGTAGCCATGAGAGGCCAGTGGGAGGCAATTCTGAGAATTGTGTGTTGTATACATGGGGAAGAGGAACACTATTTCCACTGAGGGGATACAAGCCTGGAATTGTTGGTAGCCATTTTCCAAGAAGAATGATAACACACAAGAGAGGAGACTTGTAAGATGGGACGGGACTATTATTAATGACCCAACTTGAACACTGAATTCAGCACTCCCTAAAATCACAAGCCCTGGCTTTTATTTACTTCAGTTTTTGGGGTATAAGCTGTTTGAGTTGGTTTTCTATCATTTGAAAGAGTGCTGACTAATACACATGACAGAGTATTCAGTTATTTTGTATGGCTCCTGCTTCCCCACCATGTTGCTTCAAACTGAATGCCTTTCCCCCCTTGTTTATCTGTCCATCTCTTTAAGGCACAGCTCAAATACTCTCTCTTCTGGAATACCTACACAACCTTCCCCCTATCCCCAACAGAGTTGGTCCCCTTCTTGCCTCAGTTTCTGTAACATTTCTGTGAAGGGCCTTATAATACAGTGTCCTGATTATGTATCTTTTTATTTCTCAGTCTCCTCAGAGACTACAAGCAGCTGGAAGGCAGAGACCAAGTCTGTATCTTACCTACATTCTGATTGTCCAGAGCAAACCCCGAGAAACCACTGGGGGACAGAGCAGGTGATTGGTGCAGGCTGCCTTGCATTCAGGCACATGCCTACCTGGATGTAGGCCTTTTAGGAGGGGGTGGAGGACTCTGTTCCTGTAGTCTCAGCTATTCTTTCTCTCTTTCACTTCCTCTTAACACCCTGGTCTTGTCTTTTTACCAAAACAGTTAAAATTGGATGTCATACTTCTGGGCTCAAACACAGAAGGGCAAATCAACTGCCCTGTTGTTGGGCTCATAGGGATGGACCTGCCTGAGAAGGAGAGGGGAAGGGGCCAAGCCCAGCCAACCTGCCAGACCTCAGTCTTCCTACTCAAACACACCTTCAGCTGGACCCCATCTCTGGTTGCAGAAATAAGATCAACTGGCCTAGTCCTTACCTACAGAAGTCAGTGAAGTAGTGGAGACCTTCAAATGTCGGTGAGAAATCCGCTTGTGGGGACTGTGGGCTCTAAAAGACAGAACAGAATCATCTTGTTAAGGAAATTTGTCCACAGCTTATAAATAAGCAAGTAGATACCTGTACATTCTTTCAAAGTTGTCTAAGCTGAGGAACTTGTTAGAATTACAAATTCTCAGGCTCCACCCCAGACCTATTAGATCAGAAACTCTAGAGAGATGGGTCCCAGACATCTGTGATTAAACAAGCACCCTAGGTGATTCTGAACCATTGCCTTTGGGAGATGGAACTTTGACTATTTACCATTTATTAGGGCTCAGACTCTGAGTGAACATCTAACTTGTTGAAAATTCTCAAAATGTGAATGATTGTCTGGTAGAGATGCAGATGATTTTTGCTGGGCAGGAAAGATAAATATAAGGTTTCATCCCCCTGTGAAACATTAACCTATTTTATATCTAATTTAGCAATCTTATTCCAGCATTCTTTCTCTCTCCACTGATTATATATGCATATCCATTTCTTATATCCTCCTTTGAACTAGTTTTGTTATCCTTATGATTCCCTCATTAATGAGTTAGAGAAATCTTTATATATCAGTATATATTTGTATAAGAATTATCTTTGTTAAGTTTTTGGAAATTATACTTAGGCAATCTCATTCCAGCTAGACCAGTGCATGGGCTATAGCTGTGTAAAACCAAGGCATGTGAGTCAGTGTCCCTCCCAAAGGATTATCTTCCAAAGACACAGGACCCACTTTGGCCAGCGGCAGGATTTCACTAAGACTCATCTTTCAGGTCTGTTTACAAATATCTGGGCAGTTATTAGAAGTAACTCCTCTGCTATGATTTGTCCTTTTCTCACAGGCTAGCAAAGTACAAAGAGCAAAATCCAGGAGAGGAAAATTAATTTGGGAGGGGGAGATAATGGAAAAATCCAAATGCTCTCTCCTATGTTGAAAACTTTCTTAATTTTATTTCATCAATATAATGATTGGCAAAGAAAATATTCATAAAAGAATACAGCTACCTAGTCCCCATGTGCTAGGAAATACTGTTCTTCACAGCGCAAAGTTTAGGCATATGGGATATACCTGTTGGCCAGGTTTTTGTCAGTTTCTCCTTCCAGTGAACTGACATCCCCACTCAGGACAATGGTGGGTGGACTGCAACGTATTCCTGCAGTGGGAGGGCCCTGGCAGTTTAGAACAAAAACATAGATGCAGTTAGGTTTGGGTTGGTGGAAGCTTCCAGGAGCAGGGAGTGGAACATTTAATCCAGCATCTTGACACTCAGAGACATCTTGATAAAGGTTGAATGTAGTTTATTGGGATTGTTTAGGAGAGAAAAAGGCCATTTTTCCTTCATTCCCCAGCAGGCATTCACTAAGGGTCCACTTTTCATGCACTAAGACTTGCTTACCTGTAAGGCATCCCGGGTTAATTCTCACTAACAGTCTAGGAAAAGAATGGTGCAGAGTCTTCAGGCTGTGGCCAGCCTGGCTGGGTAAGAGTGGAGACCAAGAGAAAAGGTGTTGGTACCCACAAACACCTGAGACTCAGTGACATTTGGGTAGTTGTGACATTTCAATAAAGGTGATTTGTTTGATGGGTAATGGAATATAGTTTAACTTTTGTAACTTTGTGAAAATGCTTATCTAAATAAATACACTTATCTGCGATTAGAACAAAATTATATGGTGATGAGCTGATCACTTGCTTTGTCCTCTTTTTGCATGTTCCCTCAGTTCCCATGTAAAATGGTCAAAGGTTGGCTCCAAGAAGGTTGTCCAAATAAAATGAAATGATGAATGTGTGTGTGCTTTGGAAGTGTCATATGGTTAGCGATTAATCACTATTGTCATTAAAATGAACGGGGGCTCTATGTAATTCTCCCCACCTTTTCTTCCCCAGGCTCCCCTGGTGGGAGGCCATCAAGCACCAGGGAGGCCACTCCAAGGAGCCAGTAGGGAAGCAGGAAGATCTTAGGTCATGGCATGGGGCCTGAGGACACATGAAGCAGTGTCCAGGGGAGTGCTGAGGTCAAGAAGGGGAAGCAGTGTGTCAACATGGCAGGTGACAGGATGGAGCTGGGGCAGGCAGGGCCAGGGGCATGTGTCCAGCTAAACAGGAGAGCCAGCAAAGAGAGAAGAATGGGAGGACTTTCTACTGCAGGGATTTTCTAGTGAACAGAAAGGGCTAAAATTTTTCTAGAGGCTTCTGTTCATAACTCTAAAAGGGCTTCTTACTTATGTGGTCTCTTAGATCTCAATCAGGGAATTAGCATCCTCTGAAGCCTGTTCTCTGATCTCAGAGCTGAGGGCCCATTTGCTGTGAGAAGTGTTTACAAGTTATTATATAAGTTACCAACATTTCATAATTGGAAGAATTCCCACAAAGGTCTGGATTTTCTGCTTGTCCTGAAAAACCAGGAGATGAAGCAATCATGGGTCTGCATTTCTGCAGAGGAACCCCTGGTTGGAATCAGCATGTAGTGGCCTGCTTCAATCATTTATGTTCCCTGCCTGGTCCCAAAGGTATCCGAGTTACTGCCTCTGTGGTACATGTTTCTTAACCTGTCTTGGTTTTCTGGAGCACAGAAGTTTGTGCTTAAAACTTCCTCCACCCATGTCATCTTTTTTTAAACTTAACATAAAGTTTTTTAAACTTAATGAAAAGCTATACATATTTCATGTATATATCTTGATGAGTTTAGAGGTAAGTATATACCTGTGAAACCTTTACCACAATCTGTCATAAACCTATTCATCACCTTTAAAATTTTCTCATGCTGCCACCTTCTTCTTCTTTATTATTATTATTATCATTATTATTTTTATTATTATTATTACTGTGATAAGAACACTTATAAGATCTCTCTCCCTAGCAAATTTTTAGGTGTCATATACAGTATTGTTAACTCTAGGCACTATATTATACAAGTGATCTCTTGGACTTACCCATCTTGTATAACTCTCATGCCATCTTGATGGGGCTTCTTTCCATATGGCCTCATGGGTGACTGTCACCATGGAAATGTTAGTTGAAACACTAGCTGTGTTTATAGTATGTGTGAGCTTCCTTCCCTGGGTGGAATTTATTTCAATGGTGAAATTTTGAGCTCTAAAAATTACCCTTTTCATATTTATATTTTCTCTGGTGAACAAGAAAAAATATGCTTTGACTGAAGGGTTCATTATATCATATGGTTTCCGCCATCCCTTGGGGTAGGGCTTGCACAAATTCCCAGCAGCAGATAGATAGATCTACATAAAAGGGGCAGAAAAAATCAAACATTATTCCTGCATGTTGTGTTCTGAAAAGAAAAAAATTGTGGTGGTGGTGGTGGGTTTATAATATATACTCATTTCCAGTTTAATATATTTAGGTTGCTAAGTAAGTAGAATGAAGTTCATTTATCTATTTAATTTTATTGATACACTACTTATCTCCCAAAGCAATTTGAAGCAACCAACAATAAAATATAAGACATAAAAACATGAGACTATAAAAATGGGGAAGCAATTTGATAAATATAAACATCCCTAGAAAGAGAAATGCATGCTCCTTCTAATCATCCATGATTTGACTCTGAAGTTAAACTGTTTGACCTGAAACGTAATAAGGATGGGATCCACGTGGGTCAGGCTCTGAGAAAGATTGCTTTCAAGAACCGCTCAGCAGACAAACAAAAACGATATACAAAGAACTCCACTCTGCACCCTCACCTTTTAAAGGACATGAAAGGGGAACAAATCTTAACTCCCACGCTCACCTTTTCTCTCTTCTTTGACTCTTGACTTGCTTACCCTCCCCACAAAAATTTCTCTCTCCCTCTCCCTCCCTTTCTCCTTCTCTCCTTCCTCAGCTTACTCCTCCAGCTCCATCCAATTATTTATTATACATATAATTTTAATCTTTCTTTTTATGATTGACTCAGAAAAGTTTTCAAAAGTCTTATAGTCTAAAAGAGGAGTCAGTCTGTTAACATTTGTACATTATTATACTTTATCCTGTCTATTCATCCAGTGAACTTTTACTAAAAGCCTATGGTCTATGCTAGGGCCTAGGAAGACAAGCTGAACCAGGAAGTTAGCACGATGGGATGGGGAGTGGGGTGGAAGTACTCTCCCCCTAACCCCCCACCTAAGCAGCACTGAGGGCCTGGTGCTCTCAGTGTTGACCTATGAGGTGAATGGTCTGCAAGGCACTGGAGTTGCTGTTTTCTGGTGGCAGTTTTACCTGCCTCCTGGCTAAAGACCATTTAGTAGCTGCCATGCTGGGGCTGGGTTGAAGGCACCCTCACTCTGAGGAGGTAAGGGCAGAGGTGCTTAAATAGAAAGACAGAAGCAAGTTACGGGTGGCACCTGCTAATCACATAGCCATGGACACACACAATTCAAAGCTGCTTAAAAACTAGGAGATACAAAGCAATTAGGCAGAAATCTTTTAATTCCCTGATGGAATGTCCTGGAATGTTCCTTACTCTCCCCTTCCAATGTGTACAAAATATATAGTAGTAAAGTTAGTGTTCTTTCCCTAGTCAGTTCAGAGAATGGTTGAGCAAGCTCTGGACAACTTCTAATTTTCTGCAAAACTGTTTTTGTGGGGAACATTCAGTCTTGTATGGGCTGTGTTTCACTCCAGCAGGTACTGGGGAAATGGTCATCTAGGAGAAACTTGGGATAATTCCAGGGGCCTTGTGGAGTGAATTCCACCAGGTTTTCATACAGTGTAAATACCCATTCCTGCTCTTATTCTGAGGTGCCATACAGAAGGCAGTGCCTCAAGAAAGCTTGTAAGACAGTGTATCTAAAATAGAGCCTGCCAGGAAGTTACTTACTGGCTTTGGGACTTCAAGAGCCCCAGACTCAGGAGCCACACTAATTCATGATACAGCTTCTTGCTTACTGTGTGACCTTTGCAAAGTTATCTTGCCTCTCTGTGCCTCAGTTACCTCATCTGTAAAATAGCAATCTCACAGGGTATTTATAAGAAACAGGTTGATATGGAAATAGGATTGCCATATAAAATAGAGGATATCCATTTATATTTGAATTTCAATAAATAATGAATACATTTTTAGTATAAGTAGGTCCCAAATATTGCATGGGTACAACTATATTTTCATTTGCTAAATCTGGCAGCTCCAGACGGACAGCTCTTGAAAGGGTACTTGGCACCTAGGAAGTGTTCAATAAGTGTCAGATGTTCTATTATTCTAACCTTTGGGACTGAATTAATTGCTCTGGAACTTGGTTTTGAGGAGATTGTTGTTCTTAGTTTTGAGTCATTTGGAGTTAAATTAGGAGGGCCTTGCTGGTCTGGTCATGGAACCACAGAGCATCTCCCCTGGGACACTGACCATGTGAGCCTGTTATCAGTGCCTCCGGGAGAAGCCCACCTCCAAGGCCACCTTCACCTGGCTCCACTCCCTTTCTTATCATCTGTTTCTTAGATCAAATATGTCTGCTTTCTGTTGGTTATAGACATGAGAAGCAAAGGAACAAATGTGGGTAGACAAAAGTGACACTTACTTACTCAGACCTACTGCATGTGAGGCCCTGTTCCAGACACTTCCCATGTATTTCTCATTTATTTTTCTTGGCAACTCTGCAAATGATGCTCACAATACCCATCTACAAATTGGGGATGATTATACCTCCTGACCTCATAGGATTGTGAAGAGGAATTGAGAGGAGCAAAGTGAAGGCCCTGAGTGTGGAGTAGGTGACTGATTCATTTCTTTTCTCACCTCTTTTTTCCCATTTCAATCCACCTTACCAATGAAGAAATGTACTTGTCCTGGGCTGTGCAGCTGTTATATAGTGGAAGAGACTAAATACCAGGCCTGTAGACCTTCCTACCACACCTCACTATTCTTACAGTTGTTCCCACTGCGCTCGCCTCCCCTGGTGTCCTGAGGGCCTCTGACACTCCTCTCTTATTCTTCCAAGCTGCACTCTCCCTCACAGTCCCTTTCCTCCAGGAAGCCCTTGAACCAGCTCCAGGCTTGAGGAAAGATAGCAAGGGCAGCCCTTTACCTTTCCAGGGGTCCAGCCTCCCCAGAGATCCATTTCCCTTCCCTGGAGTAAGCTGAGCACTGGGGGGCTGGGCCATCTCCTGGCAAGCTCACCCTATAATAAACCAGCAAGTCACATTTTGTTCTCCTTAAATAAACCTTATAGAAACATTT